ACATGAAGAATTTACTGCGCTGGGAGCGCAGCGACACTCCCGCTGCGGGTTCGGATCCTATATAGGAATGGCCGGTGCACTCACTGGCTGAGTGCGGCACTCCCGCCGCGGGTTCGGATCCTATATAGGAATGGCCGGTGCGCTCACTGGCTGAGTGCGGCGTGGGCAACACCACACCAAGGGTTGTGATTCCCTTACCGGTCACGAAAAAGACAAAAAAAAAAAAAAAGAAAGAATTTACTTATGGGCTCAATATCAGGTTTTTCATGGAGAAAAAAGGATCAGCAAACCTGAAGACAAAGCAATTCAAATTATCCACTCTGAGGAGCAGAAAGAAAAAAAAGAAAAGAAAAAGAAAAAAGGAATAAGCTGAGGGTCCTGTAGGACACCATCAAGCACACCAATATACACATCATGAGACTCCCAGAAGGAGGAGAGAGAAAGGAGTAGGAAAATATCTGAAGGAATAATATCCCAAAACTCTCCAAATTTCATGAAATAATGAATCTATATATCTAAAACTCTCAACAAACTCCGAGTAGGATAAACTCAAAGAGATCCACATCAAGAAACATTATTATCAAATTGTCAAATGACAAAGAGAAAAATAGAAGCAGGAGAGAAGCAACTTTATCATGTACAAGGAAACCTCAGTAAGATTTTCAACTAATTTCTCATCAGAAGCCTTGGAGACCTGAAGTCCATGGTGTGACATTTGAAGTCCTGAAAGAAAAAGAAAGAAAAAAGGAAACTATCAACCAAGAATTCTATATCCAGTAAAACTATCCTTCAAAAATGAAGGAGAAATTAGGAAACGTCTGGAGAAATAAAAGCTCAGCTTCAGCAGACCTACCCTACTAGAAATGCTAAAAGGAGTCCCTCAGGCTGAAATGAAAGGACACTAGACAGTAACTTGAAGCCACATGAAGAAATAAAAAAACACTAGTAAGGATAACTACACAGGAAAATCTAAAGTCCAGAATTATTGTAGTTTTGGCTTGTAACTCCTGTTCATTACCTGACATGATTAAAAGGTAAATTCATAAACTAATAATTAAGTCTCTGTTAATAAGCACACAATATATAAAGATGTATCTATGACAGTACCAATAGCAGGCGGGACAGAGGTTTACAGGAGCAGAGTGTTCATATACTGTTGAAACTAAACTGGTATTATTTTAACCAGATTGTTATAACTTTGAGATTTTAATTGTAACCCCCAAGATAAGCACTAAGATAATAATTGAAAACTATACAGAAAAGGAAAGAAGGAGGGAATAAAAATGTTACACTAAAAAAGAAACAAAATACCAAAAAAGGCAGTCATGGAGGAACTGAGGGGAAAAACCTATACCAGGCATATGGAAAACATGTGGCTGCAGGGCCAGTGAGTCCTCCCTTATCGGTAGTTGCTTTACGTGTAGATGACAGAGATCGGCAGAGTGCACAAAAAAGCACGATCCACCTACGCGCGATGTACTAGAGACTCGCTTTAGATACAAAGATACAAAGAGGTGGAGAATAAAAGGACGGGGTAAGATATTCCATGGAAATAGCGACCAAAAGAGAGTCGGGTGGTTACGTTATCATCAGGCGACTTAGGCTTTGTGTCTAGTGCTCTTGAAGACCAGTCCTCGTCGACCTCGAGATGACACGTGCAGGGTCGTGCGTGCCCGGCTGGTGTGAACGAGGGGGTGATTTCTGTCTGGGCCGCCTCTGGAGCAGGTGCCTGCAAGGCTCGTTGCAGTCTAGCTTATGCTTATCCGGTAATAAAACTGTTGAACTCCTTTCTGCCATTGCGGAGAGGACTCACCGGGTTGGCAGGAGACTGGTTTTAATTGTTGGCCCCAACAGTGTCCACGAATCCCCTCACCTTCTTCACATCTTTGCATAAATGTCACCCCCATGAGACCCACGCTGCCCTCCCGCCCCCACCACCTTCCCCTTCACCCTGCTCTGTTTTCTTTCGGAATAGCCCTTCTTTGTTCTAGATAATTTACTATTTTGTTTCTGCTTCTCTCGCCTCCCTGGGCAGGGATCTGTGACTGTTCTGCTCACTGAGTGGGTGTACAGAAGCCCTGGCAGGGGGATGACTGTCTAATGGTGCTCAAACGTGCCACATCCCGACACCAGCCTCCGACCTGCCCCAGACCCTGCTCTGCTGCGGCCTCCGTCTCCTGTGACCGAGGGAGCTTCACCCTCGAGTCACTCAGGTTGAAACGTCGGTATCCTTTGCTCAGGCCCACGTGCCAGGACCCGATGGCCCGCTCCCCGCACTGCTCCCCACCTGCCACCCGCCCCGCCGTGCCCGGCCTCGCTGCTGCTCTGGGAGGCGTCAGGGGTCCTGTGGGGACCAGGTGGCCAGGGCTGCCTGCAGCCCCATCTGAGGCTTCCACACCCGGATTTGCTTTCCCCGCCTCCTCCCCACCCGCGCTGGTGTCCGACATCCCGCGTGAGTTACTTATTTAGACTGTTTGTCATCTCTATGCAGAGGTCAGTCCCAGGGAAGGTGACCCACGGTCCAGTTTGCCTGAGACTCTCCTGGTTTCAGCACTGAAATCCTGACCCCTCGGTCTCGGGCAGACCCAGGTTGGTCCCCAGCTGCTTGGGTCTTTGTCAGTATGGTTTGTCCCAAGTGCTGGCCAGTGCCCAGGGGCCCCAGGGTGCCCAACACTTGCTCGATGGGTGAATGAATGCTGCATACAGGTGTCCAAAGGCTCACCCCAGCTACATGGTGGGTCCAGACGTGAGCCAGGCTGTCTGCCTGGAGTGGGGGACCCTGCCACCTCCCCTAGCCCGTCCCCCTATCCCGGGGCCCAGTGCCTCAGCACTTTTCTCCTGGGCAGGTGTGGCCTGGGGCGGGGATGGGGGTAGGACAGTGTCACTGGCCAAGGCAGTGGGCCTGTTGGGCTGCAGGGGCCTGGGTGTGGTCCCAGGATTCTGACGGGGACGTGGGGTGCCTGACCCAGTTCAGAACCCAGCCCTGAGAACCGCCGCCACTTGGGGGCAGCACACACATGTTCTCCAGTCAGAGCCACCTTGTCTCTGCCGGATGGAGGGGCAGCTGGGACCTGAGCAATGCATGTGTTTGGGCCTCAGTTTCCCCCACCTGGGGGATGGCCAGGGATGTGACAAAGTCTTGAGGGATCCTGCAGCTGGCCAGGTGGGAGCTCAGCCCCACAACCCCCCTCTGACAAATCCCTCCACTCCCCACCTCTGGGCAGCAGAGATTCCTGGAGTAGCCCTTAGTCAGGGCGGGGGTCTCTGTGCATCACAAGGTGGGGTCACCCCTGGCTGGTCCAGGGAGTCTGGAGCAGGAACTTGGAGTGGGGGCTACCCAGCTGGGCCGGGAGTATTGTCTCCCTCTGCCCATGTCTCAGTGGGGAGAAGGCACCAGAGCCTGCCTGCTGCCATGACCCTGACCCCCAGGAAGGGGAGGGGGCGCCTCCCTGGGTCTCCTGCCTGACCTGGCCTCCATGCCCAGGGCTGCCCCCTCCTCCTCTCCTTTATTGGACACGTGGATGGGGATGCCCAGTCAGTCTGCTCCCGGGACCCTGCCTTGCCCCAGCTGAGTCCTCAGGTGCTCCCAGCTCCCAGGGCAGGCCCAGACCCCCACCCCAGTGCTCCCCCCACACACCCAGGGTGGCACACATTGGAGGCGTTGCATCCCCAGCCTTTGGGATGTTCTTGGGTCTGGCCTTGTCCCTGGCGGCTGTCACCACCGAGTCCTTGGTCCCATTTTCACAGGTGCAACTGGGCACCATAATCATCCTTCTCCCCACCCCATGGGGCCACCCTGCCCCACCGACCCAGATCTTTGTCCTCGAGGGAATGCTGTCACCACCGAGTCCTTGGTCCCATTTTCACAGGTGCAACTGGGCACCATAATCATCCTCCTCCCCACCCCATGGGGCCACCCTGCCCCACCGACCCAGATCTTTGTCCTCGAGGGAATAGGCAGCAGGTAGACAGGTGTTTACTGAGCGAGGGGCACTCCGGCTCTCCCATTGCAGGAGGGAAAGAAGTCCCCGGGGCCCGGGGCCAGCTGGAGGAGGGGCAGCCCGAGCCGGGGCCAGAGGTAGGAGTGCGCGTGCTGATGGCAGCGCGACTGACTGTCCAGAGGCAGCCTGGGTGGGTGTCCCTGAGTGGAGAAGACGCCCAGACTTGGGAGGGTCCTGTGAGCCATGTGAGAGAGCTGGGAGGGCAGACCCCACGGGCCCCCTGCTGGGGGACCCCTGCCCTGGGGTCGGGAGTGACACTGCGAGGACCCAGAGTCCCTCTGTGGTCCTCCAGCAGGATGGACACAGGGGTTCCCAGGGAGCGTCAAACATCTGAGAATGGCACTTAGCAGCAGATGGCTCCTGGAAGCGATAACCCTTGCCAGACAGGCAGGGCTGGGGGCTGGGGAGGCAGAGACGGTGGCCTGACCTCTGCGAGGGGTCCGGGCGGGACGGGTGCTCCAGGTGGCGCCCAGCACCAAGGTTCTCAGCAGATCCTTGAAGGGAGGGTGGAGGGAGAGGCAGGGGCCTGTGTGAGGTGGGGGCCACGTGCAGGCCCAGCCCCGCGGCATCCAGAGGTGGACTCCAGCCAGTGCGGGGTGCTCTGGGCAGAATCTGGGGCAGGAGGCCAGGGCCTCGTCTTCAGGGCCAGGGATGGTGGCCGTGACCATGAGTTGTCCGAGAGAGACAGGGAAGACCAGGGGCTGGGCTATCTGGGGAAGGGAGTAGACCTCCCAGTTCTGCCTGTCCCCAGGGCACTCAGGAGGGGGCTGAAGGTATTTTGTCTAACCCGAGGCCCGAGGCCCGTGGCCCGACCCCTGAGAGCCCCTGCGGAGCTGCAGGCCTTTGGAGAGCCGGACCCCACAGCCTGGGTTCTGGTGAGACCACCCCCATGTTCTGAGGGGCAGGAGAGAGGGGGGCCTGGCCTTGGCTGTCAGAGGCTCTGGGGTTCCCCAATATGAGCTGGCCTCCTGCCCCACCCCAGCAATGTGGCCCTGGCACCTACTTGTCCTGGATGAGGCTCTGGCTCAGGCTGCTGTCCCACAGGTGGCAGCTGGGGAGAGATAAGGGGAGCTGCCCCAGGCTGTCCAGCACAAACCAGGCCTTGCCTGGGCTGCCCAACCCTGAAGAGCCAGTGCCATGGGAAGCAGGCAGGTGCCCCATTTCCAGGGGACAACAGGGCTAGCAGAGGAGAAGCCCTCTTGGACCCCAAGAATGGTGTGCACCCCCACTTGGGCTGGACACGGCCCTCCACTGCCCCATGGGCCTGTCCCTGGGCCTGGCCCAGCATGGCACTGGGGCTCTGGCAGTGGCTGGGGCCAGCTCCTAGGGTCACCTGACCAGCAGGTGGTGAGTCCTGGTCCAGACGCCAAACCTTGGGGGTGGCCACAACCCCTTTGGCTTGTTCTGCTGGAGATGACCTTTGCTGGGAAGTGCGGTCCAGCCTTGGCTGAAAGCCCTGCTGGAGGAGGCGGATGCAGACTGAGCGTCCCTCCACGGGCCCTGGACATGTCTTTGTGGATGGCAGTGTGTGGGCTGCCCTGGCATTGCTCAGGTAAGCTCAGGAGACATTTCTGAGGTCCCTGCCTGGCCCATTGCTGCTTCTTGGGAAGGGCCTTGGCTGGCCGGGTGCCTGGACGCGGGCTTCACCCTCCTCTTCCGGCCCCTCCTGCCTCCGTGGCTCTTGCCGTCCACCCTAACCCTAGAGCCAGGTACTTCTGAGCTTGCAGGGGGGGCTGCCAGCTCCAGGCCTTCCCTGACCCTGAGGCAGACGCCATGCTTCCGGGCCATACTCAGGACCCACGCGGTTAGCTCTGCCCACTGGGAGAGTCCTCCTGGTGAACTCAGGTCCTGGGAGTCTGAACTGGGTGGGTGAGGGACATCTCAAGTCACTGGACAGGTGGAACCAGAGCCCTGGTCAGGGGAGGTGGACACCGGGGAGGAGGAGGCCACGCCACTGACAGAGGCTGGGGAGGGGTGTTTGGGAGGCCCAGAGATGTAGGACTGTCTGGAAGGAGCCGGGAGGCTGTGGGTCAGGGATGGGGCCAGGCCTCCACCTGGGCTCAGAAGCCTATCCTGACTTGGGGAGGGTGGCTGCTCTGTCACCCCGTTCAGGGCACACCACACCCAGCCCAGGGGGAGGCAGGAACCCTGCGGCCAGGCTCCAACTCACTGCATCGGAGGTCACACAGCTGCTGAGGGACAGAGAAGTGCACGTCGGTCCTCCAGCCCTGCAGGCATGGGCAGCTGTCACACGGCTGCCTGTGACCCTCCCTGTACCTGCACCACCCACGTTCCCCAGAGGATGGCCTGGAGAGGCTCTGCCACAGAGGCTCCCAGGGCAGACAGAGCCAGGGCAGCTTTGGGGAGGTGGGAGCTTCCCTGTGGGCTGATGAGGGAGGGACAGGAGTTGGGGTGGCGGGGGTGGGGTGGGGCACGGTTCACCACCCACCTGGATGCAGATGCCAGGGGCACAGGCCCTGTCCCTGGGAATGTCCACGAAGGCAACCTCAGGGTCTCCTGTGGGGTCACCCTGAGTCTGGAAGGGTAGGTGACAGGCAATGAATGCAGGAGGAGCAGGCCAGGCTTCACTGTGTCCTTATCCCACAGGCACCACAGCAGCCCTCTCAGCACCTACAGAGCAGGGCTGGCCTCTGCCCCTCCCTGCCAGGTGGGCCAGACCCCGGGGGGCTCAGGGGCCAGGCGGGCAGCAGAGAGGACTGCAGGGAAGGGATGGGGTCCTGCCACCCTCCCTAGGATGGTGCCCAGCACACCTGGCTCACTGAGGCTGGAGGGAGGGGGCTGGCCTGGAACACCAGGTGGCAAGCAAGGAGCCACGACTTCCTTTGGGGACACAGGCGCACCTGGAAGTGAGCAGGGCTGGGCGAGAAGAAGGTGGCCCGGAGGAGGCCCTGCGTGGGTGCCGGCTGGACGGTCATCTTCCAGGCTGTGGGGGTGGAGGGGTGAGGCCTGGCAGCCCCAGCACCCTGCCCACCCACCTCCCCCAGACCAAGAGCTGTCTACACCAGCCAAGTAAAGGGCACTGTTTGCTGCAGAGGCCCAAGCCAGCCTCCCCTCCCACACGCCCCTATGCTGCCCCCACAGAGCACTCACCTGGAAAGTGGCCTTGTTTGAAAGGGCACCTCACCCGGACATCCAAGCCGGTGGAGAACTGCAGAAAGGAATGAGGGGCGCAGGTGTGGGGGATGTGGGGGATTGGAGGCTGGGACGGGCTGGGCCACCTTTGCCCTCGGGGAGTCTGGAGCCAGCGCCCCCTCCCTGGGCCATAGCACCACCACCATCAGACCAGGAGGAGGGGCCGAGGGGCAGCTGGGAGGCCGGACTTGGGGGCTGGGAAAGGCCCCTCCCCCATGTGGGCAGTGCCCGGGGCAGCTGCTTTGCCAACTCACCTTCAGGCAGAGCTGGGGCTGCGTGTCCACCAGCGGGTACTGTACCTGAGAAGGGCTCAGGTCAGGCCATGGCCACTCATGCCCACCCCCATCCCTGCCCAGTGGCACTCACCCTGCCATGCGCGGGTCGGCTGGAGTGCTGCAGCTCATGGCAGTGGGCCCCGGGCTCCGGGCTCCAGCACAGGCTCACACGGCCGCTCACAGGGCAGGCAGGCTCCCAGGTCAGCACCTGGCTCACCGGGTGGTAGTGGATGGCGTCCCACAGCGCCTCTGCTCCGGGCTCCAGCACAGGCTCACACGGCCGCTCACAGGGCAGGCAGGCTCCCAGGTCAGCGCCTGGCTCACCGGGTGGTAGTGGATGGCGTCCCACAGCGCCTCTGTGTCTGTAGGGACCCTCCCCCAGGCACAGGTCAGCTGGGTCCCACCCTGGCTGCCAGTGGGTCCGAGGACCTCACACCCACTCAAGTGACCTTTGGGCCAGGGGTCAGCTGTAGTTCTCTTGTGGGTCCCCGAGTCCTGGCCAGAGGCTGTGCACAGGTGTGTGCCTGTGTGTGTGTGTGCACGTGCAGTGTCACTGAGCAGAGCCAAGGGCGGGGCACACCCCTGCAGCACTCATAGTGCCCCTCTCAACAAGACTGGGTTCTTCCAGGTGAGCTAGGCCCCCGCACGTGCCCACGTGTGCTGTGCAGGTGCTGCCTGGCGGGGAGCGTGCCCAGGACAGACCCTTGACCACAGGCCTCCTGAGCAAGCGCGGTGTGCCACCCCCATGCCTCCTCCCCCCACATGCTGCCCTCGCAGCGGGGCACCCCGCACCCCCGCACCACAGGGCACTTGCCATGTTCAAAGGGGCAGATCTGGGTCCGCACGGCGTCCGGGGTCGCAGACCAGCCCTGCGGGAGGGGCCGGGTCAGCGCGGACCACTCACCCCTGTGTCCCCGCCCGCAGTCGAGGCCACACCCGCACTGACCTCCAGGCACAGGCACGGCAGCTCCTGGCTGTAGGGCAGAGAGACGGTCTGCGAGACGCTGTTGACGGTCACCTGAGCCGAGGGAGGGGGATCAGGGACCCGGGCCGGCGGGGACCCTGGGGCTGAGATGGGATGGGCGGGGCTCCGGGCGGGAGGTCCCTGGGGCGTGTTCTGGGGTGGGCGGGGCCCTGGGGCGGGGCGGGGCCCTGGGACGTGGTCTGGGGCTAGGCGG